ATTTAAGGCTTTATATGTGAGAAGGAGGATTTTAAATTCTATTCTTGATTTAACAGGAAGCCAATGAAGAGAAGCCAGGATAGGCGAGATATGATCTCTCTTTTTAATTTTCATTAGAACTCTGGCTGCAGCATTTTGGATCAGCTGAAGGCTTTTAACTACAGTTTGTGGACTTCCTGATAGTAAAGAATTACAATAGTCCAGCCTTGAAGTAACAAATGCATGGACTAGTTTCTCAGCATCACCCCTGGACAGGATATTTCTAATTTTTGCAATGTTCCTCAGATGAAAGAAGGAAATTCTAGAAACCTCTTTGATATGGGATTTAAATGACAGATCCTGATCAAAAATAACACCAAGATTTTTTACTTTATTATCTGAAATCAGTTTAATCCCATCCAAATGAAGTGACTGGCTAATCAGTTTCTTTTTCAGAGACTCTGGTCCAAAGACTATAACTTCTGTTTTGTCTGCATTAAGAAGCAGAAAGTTAAGAGTCATCCAGGTTTTTATGTCTTCAAGACATGCCTGTAATCCATGTAATGGGTTAGCTTCATTTGGATTTATAGACAGATATAGCTGGGTATCATCAGCATAACATTGGAAATTAATCCCATGCTGTCTAATAATTCTACCAATTGGGAGCATGTATAAAGTAAAGAGAATTGGTCCTAGCACTGATCCCTGTGGTACTCCACAGGTAACCTTTGAGCGTGTTGAAGATCTATCATTAACGTGAACAAACTGAATTCGATCAGATAGATAAGATTTAAACCAGTCTAGTGCTGTTCCTTTAATTCCAACAAAATATTCAAGTCTTTCTAAAAGAATATTATGGTCAACTGTATCAAATGCAGCACTAAGATCCAACAGGACGAGCACAGATACAAGTCCATTATCTGAGGCCATGAGAATATCATTAGTGACTTTCACCAGAGCTGTTTCAGTGCTATGATGAGCTCTAAAGCCAGACTGAAACTCTTCAAAAAGTTCATTATGGTGGAAGTGATCACAAACTTGTTTGGCAACTACTTTCTCAAGAATTTTGGATAAGAAAGGAAGATTGGATATAGGTCTATAATTGACCAAGTCATCTGGGTCAAGAGACGGTTTCTTAAGCAGAGGTTTAATTACAGCAACCTTAAAAGCTTTAGGTACATATCCCTGTAACAGAGATAGATTAATCACATCTAAAATGGAGGAGGAGATCAAAGGGAATACCTCCTTAAATAACCTGGTTGGAACTGGATCTAACATACAAGTTGAAGGCTTAGATGAAGACAATAATTTTGCTAATTCAGAGAGTTCAACTGGATCAAAGTAGTCTAAACCCGGTTCAGATTCCATGACTACCTCAGGTACAATCGCGGATAGAGGAGTGCTTATGATCTTATTTTTAATAAGATCAATCTTATTTATAAAGAATCCCATAAAATCATTGCTGCTAAGAGCAGGTGGAATGGACGGTTCAACAGAGCTATGGCTCTGGGTGAGTTTGGCAACTGTATTAAAAAGAAATCTAGGATTATTCTTATTCTCCTCTATTAATGAGGAGAAGTACGCTGCTCTTGCTTTACAAAGGGTCCTCTTATACAGCAGTAAACCATTTTTCCAGACTAGGAAGGACTCTCGCAGGCCTGTGGAGCGATATTTTCTCTCCAGTTTCCTAGCATTTTGCTTCAAAGTACGCAGCTCTGCATTAAACCAAGGAGCAAGCTTTCTATTTTTAACGGTTTTCATTTTCAAAGGAGCTGCGTTGTCTAAGGCAATACGCAGAGAACTAGCAACCCCATCAACAAAATCATCAACCTGTGAAGGGGAATAAGCTAAGCTTTTGCACTCTGCAGCACTGCTCAGTGACATAGAGGAGAGAGAAAGTGAAGCAGATTCTTTAAAATGTATAACTGCACTATCTGATAAAGATCTACTAAAATTGAACCTTCTTTTGGGGGAGGAGAACTCTGTTAAAGTAATCCTGAAGGTTATTAGAAAGTGGTCAGAGAGGACAGGGTTGTGAGGAAATACTGTTATTTCTTCACATTCTATGCCGTATGTCAGCACAAGATCCAAAGTATGAAGATGAGAATGCGTGGGACTATTCACATTTTGAACAAAGCCAATAGTGTCTAAGATAGCATTAAAGGCTGCTCTTAAGCTATCGCCTTCAATGTCAGCATGGATGTTAAAATCTCCCACTATGATGACCCTGTCAGTATTTAATACCAAATCAGAAAGGAACTGTGAAAACTCATCTAAAAATTCAGAGTAAGGACCTGGTGGACGATACAAAGTTACAAAAAGAAGAGGTTTTCTTGCCTTGAAATTTGGATTAGGGAAATTAAGGGTTAAATGTTCAAAAGAGTTGTAGGTAGTAATTGTTTTGGGAGTAATCAGTAAGTCAGACTGGAAGATTGTTGCTACTCCTCCTCCTCGCCCAGAACTTCTGGGGATGTGAAAATCTAAATAGCTTGAAGGAGTTGCCTCATTTATGCTCACATAATCCTCTTGCTGCAGCCAGGTTTCTGTAAGGCAAAACAAGTCAATGTGATTATCACAAATCAAGTCATTAACTAGTAGACTTTTAGAGGAAAGCGATCTTATGTTAAACAGACCGCATTTAATTGTTTTAACTTTTTCCCCAATTGGAGTTATTTTGATTTTAATTAGATTATCATGATTTACTCCTTTGGGAATCTTTGCTAATTTATTAGATTTTGGTCGTGGGCAAGACACTGTCTGGATGGAGTAAAGAGTGGGTAACAGTAGAGAAGCTGCAGAGATGTGTGTTAAACTACAACTCTGCTTCCTGGTCTGCACCCTGGGTGGTCAGGGTTTTGGAGGACTAATAAATGTGGCCAGATTCCTAGAAAGAAGAGCTGCACCATCCAAAGTGGGATGGATGCCGTCTCTCCGAATCAGACCAGGCTTTCCCCAAAAGGATTGCCAATTATTAATGTAGCCCACGTTGTTTTCAGGGCACCACCTAGACAACCAGCGGTTGAATGACGACATGCGGCTAAACATGTCATCACTGGTCAGATCAGGGAGGGGACCAGAGAAAATTACGGAGTCCGACATTTTTTTGGCAAACTTACACACCGAAGCAACACTAATTTTAGTGACCTCCGATCGGCGTAACCGGGTGTCATTACCACCAGCGTGAATAACAATCTTACTGTATTTAACCTTATCCTTAGCCAGTAGTTTCAGGTAGGATTTGATGTCGCCCGTTCTGGCCCCCGGCAAACATTTGACTATGGTCCCTGGTGTCTCTAATGCCACGTTTCTGACTATGGAGCTGCCAATCACCAGAGTGGGCTTCTCAGTGGGTGTGTCACTGAGTGGGGAAAACCGGTTAGAAACGTGAACGGGTTGGTGGTGACCAGTGGGCAGAGATCCACGACTACGCTTTCTGCGTACAGTTACCCAATCGCCTGGCTGCTCAGGCACATTTGGAGGACAGCTACGTGGGGGGCCTACTTTAACTCCTGGATGTTCAACAGCCTGAAGCCTGGATTCTAACTCTGACACCCTCGCCTCCAAAGCTACAAAAATACTACACTTATTACACATCCCATTATCACTAAAGGAGGCAGAGGAATAACTGAACATCTGACACAGAGAGCAGGAGAGAGGAGAGGAAGAAGGAAGAGTTGGAAAAGAGTCAAGGGAGGGAGAGAGAGAAGCCATAGCAATGCTAAGCTAGCGCTAGCCTAGGCTAGCTACTCCTTGCTATCAGAAATAAAACCGTGTGAAACTGACAAGTGCTCAGTAGAAAAGTGCAGCAGAAGGTGCTATGTTTTAAAGTAGTCAGTTAGAGTTACTTAGATACAGAGATATCACAGAGAAAATAACTTAACTTCAGATGGAGATCCTCTGAACAGCTGCACACTCAGTTAATCCAAACAGGAAGTGAACAGGTCCAAACAGGAAGCAGGAAGCCAATGAAATTCACACTGGTACCAGAAACCATGGAGACATCAGGGGAAAACAATCACGACAAGGAAGACACAATGAGACGGCATTGGAGGAAGTTAGATGAGGAACCAGAAAATAAATAAGAATAGGAGACAATGATTGGGTTGGTCCTTGTATGCTCTATGTAGGATATTTTTGTTTTGTTTTTCTTATGTAAAGGAAATAACCTTAGCTTGGACAGTTAAGTGGAACTAAGTATATTTTCATAAACGGCTTAAAAAAGTTGCATCGACACAAGTGTTCACTGCACCAATGATGACGCTGCTGTTCCAATGCCGGGCCCTTTGTAAACACTAAGCCTTCTACTTGGGGACCCAGTTTTAAAAAAAGGATAATTTATACTCTACAAAAAAAAAAATTTGGATACACAACTTGAATGACAAAATCTTTTCAATTACACTTGATCTCATCTTCATCTGGATAAACCCTAAGTTTCTCACAATAACACCCCACTATTAAATGTACCTGGTGTCATTAAGCTTAATACTCGGTTAAAAAATGTTTGCTTAACTATTTTAATTCAAGCACTACAAAAGGATTGATGATGTTAATCATCCTGAATGTCAAATGTCTAAGCTGTCATAGAGTAGACGGCTTATTTGTAGACAGCAAATCTGAAAATGAATTCCTTTATTTAACCAAAAATGACACACCACTGACTGTACTGACCCAACAGACATTGCACAAGAAAAGCCTTTATCCATTTTTTTAAATACATTTTCTAATTCCATTTTTTTATAACATAAAAAAAACATTTTCTTATCAAACATGTCCCTTAATCTATATATATATATATATATATATATATATATATATATATATATATATATATATATATATATATATATATAGGAGATGTCTGCTCATACACTCTTTGTTACCAGTGAATCGAGCCACAACTGAACTGCGCCGAGCCCTACTGCTGAATTGGTACTAGATTTAGCATGATGCGGTTGTGTCTGGCACAGTCCAGTTCATTAAAACTCTACAGTTACCTCTGTTACCGTGTTTGGATCGTTTCAAAAGGCTAGTGTAAATGGAGTAATAGTTAGCTGTATTTTTTTAGGTTAATCTGAGAAGTTTCCCTTCCACTTATTCGATATTATGCTATTTCCTTGAATAAAAGTAAGAGCCTAAAATGATCAAAAAGATGATGATGATGATGACAATAACAAAACATATACAAATGGATTGACAGTCTGGACAGTCACCTTGGGTAGTTGGGGTATAATGCATTTCTATGTGGATGTTTTCTTCAGGGTTGTGATCTTCCTGGCAATTATCACTTGAGGAGTTTCTAAAGGGACCAGGTTGGGGAATAGCTAGTTGTTGGATTTTATTAATCGAATACTTCTTAAGTTGCCTCAAAAAGCTTGTAGTGATCCTGTATGTATGGTCTGAATCATAGACAGAGCCCTGGTTATCAGATGGGTCATAATGCTGAGTGATGTAGACTTGGTCTGTGGTCTGACTGTATTCGTTCACTCTAACTAGGATTCGGGGGCTGTTCCAGGCAATGTTCTCCCTCTGGGAATTTACCACATAGGATGGTAGTGTTCCTGATCTATCTCGATGAATATTACCAATAGTGTAGTATTGGTACCCCGGAGGCAGTTGATCCAGCACTCCCTCCTGGTTTATGTATCGATGGGAGCCGTAAGCACCAGAATTTGGATCAAAAGTCAGGCGGATGTTGTTGTACTGATCAATGCCAATTTCACAAGCAAACCAGTGAAGGAGCTCTAAAACGTTTGTGCGCTCAGACTGGTGGCAGTTGATCAGGTCATTGATGCAGTTCAGACTTCTCCGTGCAGCGTACACTGAGGTCAGAGTTAGCAGCAGAGCGACACAGACTCCTCTGATGTTTGTTGACATCTTTAATCTCTGTAAGAGATATTTAAAAAGTTTCAGCTCCTTCTTACTATACATTGCTGTTTAAAGATTTTTTTGTACAAAAAAGAAGTGTTTTTTTTCTTCTTTTTTTTTTATTGTTGTCAAGTTTTAGGGCAGGCATGCCTAAAGTCGGTCCTCAAGGGCTGCTGTCCTACAGGTTTTACAGGGTTCCCTGCTTTAGCACAGCTGATTCTGATAATTGCAGTTCAGCAAAATCCTGGTAATCAGCTATCAATGGAAATCAGCTGTGCTGGAGGGGAGAAACCTCTAAAACATGCAGGACAGCGGCCCTCAAGCAGCGACTTTGGGCATTGCCTGTTTTAGGGTATACAAAAGAACAATTAAAAACGTATTTTCTTAGCAAACATGAAAATCTATGAAAACCTGGGAGGTTAAACTATTTTCATAACATCTCAAATTCTTTGATATTATGGATATTGACCTTAAACTGGGAACCTTTTAAGTTTTGAAGTCAATCTTATTTCTTTCACTTATGTTATTCACAATTTGAGGCAATGTTTAAATAGAAAAGCAACTTTATCTGTGTATTATGTAAAAAGAAGTAAAACCGAACTGTAACCAGAAATGCTATCTTGCCCTTTTTAATAACTATTTAGAACAGATATAAACAAGGCGATATAGAAGAGTTGGCTAGCTGCTTCCTGGTCTGTACGCTGCGTTTGTGTGGGAGAACGGCATGAGGGAGGGAGGGAGGGAGTTAGTCATGACTTGGTTTCATTTTCTATCGAATTGAAAGTGGGACATAAAATAGTCCATAATTGTGAAGCAGAAGGAAAATAAAACTTTTTGAAATCTTTTTTTTTTTTTTTCAGAAATGATAATCTAAAAACTTCTATTCATTTTCTCTGAATCATTATATTTTATACCTGCCTCCCCACCAAAACTTCAAGTCTGGATGTCTTGCAAAGCTTTTTGGAAACTTAAAATGTGTCTTTGTATGGGTTTATTTTATCAGATGACGGATTAAAAAATCCCAGTAATTTTTAAAGCATACAATGCTGTTTAACCTTTTCTATTTGCTTCTTTCAACACAGTTATCTTCTACCTTTTGATTTGTCAAATTCAATCCCTAATGAATATGTTTGAATTGTGACAAAGTGTGAATGATCAGCTCGAAGGAATACTTTTGCAAGACACTGTTTGTCAAGCAAATCATAGCAAATACTAGTCTGCTGTTGGTCAAATATGTGTTTTGTACAGATTGTTTGAATATTGCTCAAAGCATACACACCAAGCAAAAGCTCATATGACACATTGATTTTATTTATTGTATCCAGCTTCATCCAGTTTACATTTGAGGGGGGGCACCTAAGTCACTAACAAAACGGTGTTGAATATTACAACACAGTAAAAACAAATAAATGCAAACTTTCAACATTCACCATTTCAATCTTAATACTTGTAATGTTTATCCCACCCAAAATGACTCAAGTCTGCATCAAATGTCAGACATGTATTGCTCCATTATGAGGCAGAGGAATACATCAAAGAGTCAAATAACATTTTTTAAAATGGAAAATATATTTACTCATAAGCATACATACATGCTTCCCATATTTTGTTCACCCTTCAACTGTTTTTACCCCGACTATTTAAAAGCACCATTTTTATGTTTCCCTTGAACAGTGTCTGGGAACTAATGTTGCGCCGATGCCATTTTGTGGCCCCAATACCGATACCTGTCTGTGCAGTATTGGCCGATACCATCTGTTTAAAATGTATGTGTATGTGTATATATAAAGAAGTGCATACTACTTCAATGTAAAATAATTGTAAATAAAGGCTTCGTCAAGCTGCTGCCTGCCTTTGTGAAGCAGGAAAAAGACTAATAAAAAGTGAATCCAGTAGAACATTTTATTGCCTACCTGGAATGGGTGACAATATTGGATAAACTTTTGGTTCTCAAAATGGTATCAGTGCCCAATTTTTTGGTACTTGCCAAAACCGATACCACTATTTTAGTGCAGTATCGGGGCCAGGCCGATACTGGTATCAGTGCAACACTAGTGGGAACATGACAGCACATTTTATTTTTTAACTGCAATAACGAGAAAAAACATGGCTAGAATAACAAGTATTGCAAAGACGATACAAACTTTTCCCAAGAAATTATCTTCATTGGTTGTTCTTAAATGAGGTTGAGGTATGTAGTTGTTCTCCTTACTGTAGTAGAACGCTCGATCAGTTGTTCTTGACTGAAGTGAATTTGTGAAGAATTTATCTTGTTGAATAGTAGATGCATTCCTAAAGTTGTTTCTCGGGGATAATGTGATGCTTTGTTGGATTTCCGAAATTGGCCGTCCTATGAATTGTCGTAAAAGGTTGGTGGTGACCTCAAATGTGTAGGCTTGGTTATAAGGCTGTGTGATGTAGACTTGATCTATATTCCATACCCCGTTCCCTCCAGTGGCACTAAAAATGATCCGACCTCTGTTCCATCCAATGGTTCCTCTTCTGGCATTAGTTACATAAGAGGGGAGCCTTCTGAATGAGTCTTTTTCAACGTTGCCAAATGTGTAGTATTTGTACCCCCAAGAAGGTCGCTCCAACATGTTATCGAAATTGCCGTAATGATGAGAACCAAAATCGGAATCTGGGTCAAAGGTGACCTGGATGGTACCATGATTGTCGATGTTAACTGTATTGGCAAACCAGTGTAGTAGCTCTAAGATGTTGGTGGGCTGAGGAACAGATTTTTTAACATCGTTGATGGAATTGAGAGTTTCTCGTACTGCGTACGCTGAGGTTAGGAGAGTTAAGAGCAGAGCTGCACAGAAACCGGGCATTTTTCTTGGCATCTTCGGTTCCTGTCAAGACAATTCAGATGTGTTATTGGTATTTCTTGCTGCGTGTTATTTCTCCATTTGTGCTTCCTATGCATCTTCCAGTAAATGACCTAGAGCAGTTACATGTCAGTTAATTGGTTTCATCGTGAAATACCACACCTTTTTAAGCTATACCGTAGGCACAAGACTTAAAAACAACAAACTGGTTTAGCTTGTAGTTCTGTATGACTGATATAGTCTAAAATAGACGGCTTTGAACTTGTGGAATTCCTTTTTTCATCATTTTTTTTTTTATATCTTAATATTTGGATTTATGTAGATATGCTTCAAAGAGAAAGAAAAACTATTTAGATCAGAAAAAAAATGACTGTAAAAAAGAAAATATGTTTGATGTCATTTAGGCTCAATACTTTCAACATGTTTTCTTTCCTGCATCTACAAGTTAGGCCCTGATAAGATTAATATTCAAACTTGTTCTCCAAGTCTAACACAACTAATGAATGACACCTGTAAAGTAAATCCTAAATATTTCCCTGTACGAATTTCAATGGGATGAAGTGTAATTTGTGAAATTGATTATGAACTTTTCAAAGAAGAAATGTATAGTAGCAGTTAATACCGTAAATACAAATATCCATGTTCCAAACATTTGTATGTATAAGTAGAAACTAAATCTGCCTCTTTAAGTTAGGTGTTAAAATAGCTTACCTGCTTATTAGTCAGATGCTGCCAGGTGGCTGATCTGTGTCAGTCTGTGTACGTGAGACTAAGCTATGGTCTGAAAAGAGCTTTGTTTCCTGGAAAACTTGTAAAGCAACAAAACATATTTGGTGATGGTGGGTTGGACCGACTCGTAAGAAAAAAAAAAAATCTTCCTCATCTGTTTGAAGGAAGTTGCTACACCATTGGTCAAGGCTGCTGACATTTGCAAGCTTGATACATTTACATTTAGTTAGTGTGTCAGACTTCAGATAAATGTAGTAATTCTAAAATGTACACTTTGGGAGCATGAATATGTTTTTGTCTTTGTTTTCTGGAATGTTGTGAGTTCAGTTTGTGCCTAAACTGTCTTAAAGAATTTTAAACATCCATTTTCAGTAAAAGGTGTGAAGGCTTTGTACAGGTAGTGTAAAATTAAGTTCCTCTTTTACAAGAGCTGGTGGAGAGATTATATGGCCTGTCCCATATATCATCGAAAGTTTTATATACTTTGAGTTATCATGTAGCATGTTATTTTTTATGTATTATTTTATGTTGACAGTTTATCTTTGCTCACTTATATTAAGTCTCAGTTTTGCATCGTTTGTTCAAGTAAATGTCTCACAAGCACACTGACCATTGACTGCTGCATAGCAGATGTTGAGAAAAGTAAGAAATTGTGGAAAATAATCAACAAACCAAAGACTTATTCAAGTACCATAACAAGGCTGTTACCTATTACTCATTTATTTGTTTTTAGTTGTTTAGCTTGTTTACTTGGTAAATTATCTGACCTAAGAGTTTATCATATGATGCATTTATAAAACTGTACCTATAGAATTATATCTGATGATCGACTTAGGTAATGTCAATTAACTAAATCAAAATGTGAAGATATTTATAGATGGCTATTCTTTTAATTTAGCTGAGCTGAGGAATAGATCCTGCTTGTAGGCATTTTTACAACTACTTTTAGTTATCTCACAGTATGCTTTCTGAAACTCTCGCTTCCTGATGAGAAATGAGGCCACACAGAGATTTTGGACAAGAAGGTCTGGTTCTCAGTCTCCACTTTAGTTCATCCCAAAGGTGATGAAGGCCCAGTCAAGTTCATCCATATCAGACTCTGCCATCCATATCTTTATGGACTTTGCTTTTTGCACTGGTCATATTGTAATATTTTTAAGGGAAGGCTCATAAGTTCCTATTAATGATTGATCGGAATAGTTAAATTCTTTATCTGACAGCAAACAAATCTGTTTAAAGTTAAAATTTAAATTAAATTTAAAAGGTTTTAGTCAGTTTTATGTTGCAAAAAAAGTTAACCTTTACACTTTCGAATAACAACCAGATTCTTTACCAGACTGACAGCTCTTGCCTAGATACTGCAATTGCTGGGTATAGAATGTTGCCATGCAGTTCATCATTGCTGTTGGGCAGAAAACTGATTTATAGAATTCAAATAAACTTTCTTAAGAATTAATGCCCTACTTTATACAAAAGTGACTCACAAAACTTGTGAAAATAGCAGATGTAGTTCAAAACATCATATTGGTTAATATAGCAACAAACAAGCTAACAAAATGTACTATTAAGGAATGTTTTAGACATATAAGGTTTCCATCCCAAAGCAAATACTTCTTGATCTACTATGAATTATGCATTAGACAC